TTTTTTTGTGTGTGTGTGTGTGTGTGTGTGAGTGTGTGTGTGAGTGTGTGTGTGTGAGTGTCGCATACCGTAACGGTACAGACCACAACAAGAACCGACCTCTCTCACATAGTACAGGATAGCGCAGCGGAAGGCTACTATACCAATGATCCGAACAATCAACGCTGCAATGCAGACCAAACATACATCATCATCATTCCATGGTGTGAAGGGGCCTGGCGCTCACACAGGAAGAATGCACCAGTCCCCTACCATACACAGACGAAGAAGAGGGGAGGATGGGAATGTCGTCAACACCAAGTCTTCGGTACAGGTCCCAAATAATCGCTCGTCCAATGTCCCAATCCCAATGTGGAGTCTGGATCCAAATGTCGTCAAGTCCCAAAGTCACCAATCTCTCTCTCTCTCTCTCTCTCGTAGTCTGCAGATACTGAGAAGTTAGGTAGCGAGAGGGTGAGGGAGAGATGGTGGACTTAGAAGAGGAAGAAGAAGAACTCTCTCTCTCTCTCTCTCTCTCTCTCTCTCTCTCTCTCGCTCTCTCTCTCTCAGTCTGGTACTAACCTGTGAAGGTGGCGCCTTGTTGCAGGTACATTGCGAAGCTGGAGCTATGGCGCCACAGGTAAGTCTCCCTGGCCTCCGCCAACCATCTCTCTCTCTCCAATGCTACTCTAGATCCTAACAGCGCCCAACGCTGAAGACTACTGCTAACGCTACTACTACTACTGCAGCGCTCCTCCAGAGTGCTGCTGCCGAATCCTGAAGACTGCCTCCTGCCTCCTGCACGTGAAGTGCCTGGGAAGTCCCTATGAACTCCCTCGTGACTGCCTGCAGCCTGCAGGGCGGGCCAGTCCTATATAGTGCTGGCCCGTCCAGGAGGCTGCTCTTGCCAATGCCAAAACGCGCCAGACTCTGGCGTTGAAGTTCAAACAAAGGTTGTCTTGAAAACAGGCCCAAAATGGCCCGTGCTAAGACCCTGGTCTGGTGCCTACGTTTCAGGGCAGGTCAATCTTATGAGGGCCTGAAAATGGCCCTTCGTTTCAGGCTTGAAAAGACTCAGGGCCTGGAGGGCCCTTTTTAGGCTGAAACGACACAGGGCCTGTAGGCCCTTGTTTTCAGGCTTTTAGGCTGAGAACGCTGGTCGGGCACTGCAGGCCCGTGTGGCTGCGCAGTATGCTACACCCCCCCCTCCTTGAAAGACCGAGCTTACCTGCGAGGGCGAAGCTCTGTCTGAGTGGGGGACCAAAGTCCGAGTGGGAGGGGCAGGTTGTGAAGCTCCCTTAGCTAACCTTTGTCTTTTGTAGTGAGCGTAGATCAGCGGTGTGGATGTTTTCAAATCTGCTCCTGAAATCCATCGAGTGTCATCAGGATCGCATGCTTTGAAGGTAACTTTGTACTGTCGAGGCTTGCTGCCGTACTTGAGATCCGTGATGACGCAGTCAACTTCTTGATGACCATCCATAGATGGAGGGTCTTGCGATCGTCGGCCCGGGAAGTCGTCGCTCTTAGCTGGTGTATATGTCGCCAACTTCGAGGCGTGAAAGACTGGATGGACCGTCAGATGCGGGGGGATGTTGATCACAAATTAGGGGCCATCAGGCTCATCGTGCGCGGCTGATGTTACAAACCATGGTCCAAACTACTTGGGGAGCAGTTTGCACGAAACATCCTGCTCGGGTGCAAACTCTTCCGCGGAGACCCAAACCAGATCACCAGCGCGGATGCAACATGGCACGCAACGCCTGTTGGCTTGCTGCTGCATGCAAACTTGAGCCTTTTGCATATTAGCGCGGGCTTGAGCCAGCAATTCCCTGTACTTCCGGACGGAAGCGGGGGAGCAAGCAGCGTCTATGTCAGCTGTTCGTGGGAGGAGAAGATCAGTGAAGATACGGCCTTTCCGGCCACCGTGGTGCAACTCGAATGGAGTCTCACCGATCGCCGGATGCAACAAAGTATTGTTGGCGAACTCGATGTTGGGGAGGCGGTCAATCGAATCCTTCTGATCCGGAAAGATGAACATACGAAGCATCATTTGAGCGGTTTGATGTGCCCGCTCCGTTTGTGGATGTCGAGCCGAACTTGGTTTCATCTTGGTGCCGGATTCCTGCATGAGAGAAGTCCAGAATGCCGACATGAAACGAGTGTCGCGATCGCTGACAATGTCTTCCGGTACGCCGTGGCTGCAAATCCAGCCGGTGTGCAAGAGGCGCGCAAGTTCGGGAGTTGTGGCGTAGTACTTCCAACGAAGAAATTGTGCGTACTTACTCAAACGGTCAACGACCGTAAGGATGTCGTCGTGCCCGAGGCGGTCGCGGGGAAACAGACTGGTGACGTCCATGGTAATGGAGAGGCCGGGTTCCCGTGGGATAGGCATCGGG